GGCTTTACTCTGGATGAGTATTATTGTTTGCGAAATATTATAGTATTTTGTATCCAACAAAAAGAAATAGCCTTTTTGTTTCAAACAAAGGGTTAAGCTGGGAGACACAGGGCTTACAAGGGTACAGGAAATCACATATCAATTCTAACCAAGGAATCAATTACTTTATAGAGAGAGAGAGAGAGAGAGAGAGAGAGAGAGAGAGAGAGAGAGAGAGAGAAAGAGAGAGATATATATATACCAGCCAAGGCATCAAGTAAGGTAGATTTTCCTGAACCAGAAGGACCCATGAGGGCCATAATCCGGTGAGGTTCAGCGAAACCACTAATCCCATTCAACAGCTGCTTTCTTGAGGTTGCATCATTTCTCAAGTTTTGGGCAGCCACCACCCTTATGTCTTCCCACACCAAATACTTCCCTGCAGAAGCCGATCTTTTATCCTCTTCAATCATTCCCTCAATATAACCACTCGACCTCTCTGCCATTTTTACAGGCCAACCAAATTTGTAAATTTACTCACTGCAGTCTGCAATGCAAACCCTAGAAATAATATTGTGTTGTTGAGTTCTTCTACAGAGCCTACGTGTTATCTTATAAATACATGGCCAAGGGGATCAGTTCTAGAGCCGAAACACGTTCTCTCATTATGCAGTATGGGCACGCCATTAATTTCGTTATGGTGAAATATAATCAAATTTGGCTTGCAATAATTGCATGGACGCTACTGCAAGCATACTAAGATTTCGAGGGCCCGCGTCTTTTACACCTCCATGCTTTCTGCACCGGTACTCTTATTTACTTCGTACTTGTTTAGGTGTGGATATGGATGATGGTTGATGGATGGTGGATGGTGGAGGTGGATCTGTATCTCATAAAGTCAAAGTACTGCCCCATTAAATTTCACCCAAAGGACTTAGTTGACACATCATTTTTAAATCATAACCCAATTTTCTCATAATTTTAAAAGAAGAAAAAAAAACCCTAATTTTTTTTTTATTAGAAAAACTAACGTGGTCAATATCTAAAGTACAAATTCCAATAGGGCAACAAACTAACATGCTCATTCTTCCATTTTCTGCAACGTCTCTCTGGAGAAAGAAACCCAAATGTTGATTGCGAAGAAGAGTGGGCACCTTTATTCTTGTGGAAATAATTATTGATCGTCCTCATAGGTAATTTTGCTTTCTAGTTAATATTTTATTTTATGTTTTTTTTTGTTCTCTAAAATTTTCTTCATTTTAGTGATTCTTGTTGGGGGGTATATGGTTTTTTTTAGTAAGAATTGTATGTAATTTTATGATTAAGTTCCGTTTTGATATGGGTTAAATATGAAATCTATATTCTGAAATATATATTTTTGCAGGATTGGTTTTAATAGTGGTTGAATTTAACTCTCAAACGACGGAGCGCCAATAGTCTTTTTCGAGATAAGGAGTAGAAACAGAGCCAGAAATGAAAAAAATAAGTGGGCCCCACCTCAAAATTCGTAATCACATTCCCTCAAAATTGGGTATCAGATCGACTAGGGGGGAGTAGTCAATACGATTCCTATTCCTGTTTTCTCTTATTAACTTCCAAAAATACCCTTACCACTTTACTATAATTCCAAAACAACTCAAACCTTAAAAAAAATAAAAATACACGCTGGAAGGAGTATTTAATCTTATGGAGCATGGCTTATAGTGATTGTGATTGATGAGTAATGGGTGAATGACTTTTGTGGAGATTATACATCTCTTCTTTTGGTAGTTTGACTATTTTGTATTTAATCGTGTGAAGATTATGCAAGTTATTATTATTTGATTGTGTTGAGGCCCAAAAAAGTCCACGGTTGGGCCCAAATAAGTTTTTGGTCCAATACGCTACTGTATTAAGAAAAATCACATATCTGAGTACACAAAGGCTCGTCATATACGAGTCACACCACACGCGCCATGCCAAATAAATAATTCGTCATGTTAGGAATCGAGATTAATATTATAAAATGCATTATCTTTGCAAATCCATGCTAATTATCCCGTCAAGCATAATAATTGAAAGCATGCCAAGTGATATGTCATGCCAAGCGACATGTCATGCCAAGTAGGAAATCATTATTACACACCCAACCACACTACAAGCCTAAGTGGGCCCAAGCCACTCGAATGCCTGGGGCTTGCTTGAGTGGATTGTGGTATGGATGGTAATAAATCAACATGAGGCCCATTAATGGGCCGAGAAATGGAAAGTTTCGGGTTGCTTGGGAGCCTCGAGACTCAAGCCCATTTCTTAGGCCCAAACATGTGGGTGAGCACAAAAGAGAAAAGTAGCCAAATAGCCCAAGCAAAATAACCTATCCAAAAATAACCCAACAAAAAATAAGCCCAATCAAAATAGCCTATGGACTCAACTAAAAAGCCCAAACGTTTTAAATAGCCCACTTGCTTGATAAACCATCTTGGCCCATACAACTACCATAATAAGCTACAAAGGCACCTGTTTGGGCCACTAATTGGCATACCCAGCCCAGCAAAATTTAGGCCCAGAATGAAGCTGCAAAAAAATCAAAGAAAGATGGAAGCCCAAAAGCCAGAGGAGACCAGCCCAAAACCCAATATAAAAGAAAGAAGAAAGCCCAGAAGTAGGAACAATCCCACGTGACCTCTCTGAAAAAAGAAAAGTCAGCAATGGCAACTGTCACAGGAAAAGTAATTGAAGGGTTCATAATATCAAGATTGATTCTGGAAAAGCTAAAGATCAAATCCCTCTCACACATACATGATATATATATACATACTCAGAGATTTTTTCCCTGTCTTTTCAGAAGGTAATTCTCCCAAGAAGATAAGCAAGTTACAATCTCAGGGAGGGATAAGCAGGAAAGTAGGAAGCTGTCCAGAAAAGGAGTCAAAACTAACCATCACCGGCAAAATATCACGAGGGGCAGTTGAAATTGGGAAAGAGATTAGGTTCCTTTTCAAGAAAAATCGGGGAAAGAGATTGCCTATCTGTTGAGAGCCTATCTACCAAAAACTGAGGAAACCTTTTTCTTTCTTTTTCTTTTCCATTTTTTTAAAAAAAAAGGAAAATCTTTTGAAAGGATTTGCCGCCCATTATTAAAAGAATTACCCTACTCCAGAAGACATCTCTTATAAATACAAGAAGGAGTGAACAGGGCAAAGGACAATCAATCTTACCAAAAATTTCATCACTCAACCAAACAAAGGTCCTACACAGGCAAACCGTCACATAAACAAGCTCAGAGTCGACCAACAAGTCCACTTGAATTTCAAGTGAAAAACCAGTCCCAGATCAGAATGCCCAGAATCCAGACTTAGAAAGCAAGTCATTCAAAACGAGATTTCTCTCGTTACAAATTTGGTTCAGCAAAAACCAACACAAGCAGAGTTTGAGCCTCCTCCAAGTATGGAAAACCCCAGCCAAATTCACGGAATAGCCTCTAGCTCACCAACGTCCTCAAGAACAGCCACTTCTGCCCTTTCAGACTGAAGAAACCGCAGTTCTGCCTACTCAGAAGCTTCGCAAAAGCTTGAGGTACATTAAAGCTCTGCCAGAATCAACCTTTGGCATCGATTTGTAGTTGTCTACGATCCAGTCCAGCCCAGATATTCCCAGTCCAGCCCATCACAGAGCCTCCCATCCAGGCAGAAATGGAGATCTAGCTATCTCTTTATCTTTTTTGCATCGACATGTATTTTTGTAGTCTTGTAAAAGGCACTTCCGCCCAAAAACAGCTTAAATTTCATCAACTATTCTGGCCAGAACAACCTCTTTATACTGAGATAAATTGTTAAAGTCCTCACCAGTCTGAGGCAAGAAAAGAACTTACTTGGGAGATATTCCTCACCCAAATTCACAATCGTTTGTTTAGGAAATCAGTAACTTGGGGCGCAAGTTATCCATTCCAGACTGTCTGCTAGACTGTTCATTACTAGCAGTGGCACGCTCGCACACCAAAGAAAGCTGACTTGTCGACCAGTCTATGGTTCTCAAGGCAGTGGGGAACTTTGCCCTTCCATCATAGGAGTAAACACAAAACGGGTGAACAATTTGGCACGCCCAGTGGGACTTCTCAGTATACATATTCTCATTGAGTTCTTCACCAGTTCATGAATACCGGAAGCTCTAGCCAGAACCCACACCACGGCATGGAAATAAACCAAGTGGCCCTCAGGGAAGGACTGGAATCAGAAGAAAGTGATGCCCGACATTCAGCACATGGCAGCACAGGGAGTAGGAGGTCCAGGACCGGTTCCAGAAGGATGAACCTGATGCAGGAATCTGTGTTACGACAAGAGGTCACAACACAAAGAAGCCAGGATACTCTAAACAATATGACAGCCCATGATGCAATGGCAGGTCAACAGGCAATTCAGGAAGGATCGAGAGGCTGCCATGGCCAGAATTCCCAATCCCGATGAGGTGGTCCAGCAACTAGACCTTCCCTATGGTCCCCCACCAGGGTTGGCGTGGCCATATCAAGAGAATCCTCTTGTTGCACAGATAGCTGGGATGCCAGAACGGGGAGGAATCCAGGCTGGACACCGGGAAGTGGCTTTTCCTATCCAAGAACGTCTGGCCCCAATACAGCCAGAAGGTCCTGCGCCAGGACAAGTTCTACAGAATCAGCAAGAGCCTCAGCCTGCTCCACAACAAGCGGCCCCACAAGATCACCCTATGGAAGTTCTGCCTGAACATCCAGCAGTGGTACCCTACAGGCCCAGAAGAATGGACCCCAATCCATTCCCTCCACCTGCAAGAGGAAGGAGAGGCAGAGGGGGAAATTACCCTTATGCTAATAACGACAGGAACAGGCAGGGGGCAAACTGGAGGAACCACCCAGGCCTGGAGGAGCCGGAGGAGCACAGGGAAGAAGCTCTGCCTAGACCATACAGGGCAGAACCACGATTCAATCATGCCCAGCCAGAACAGGGACAAAACCTTCCCCCTGTTAATGCTCTAAATGACGTGGGGGCATTGCAGAGGATGATCAGGAAATGATGGAGCCTGAGGCCAGGAGGGGGGAAAGACCCACCTATAGGAAGCCATATCCACCTTACATTGATCAGATACCCCTGTCCCCGGGCTTTAAAGTACCAAACTTCACTTTATTCAACGGAGAGGATCCTCATGCTTCATCAGTTGAGCACGTAGGCAGATTTTCTACCCAATGCATAGCCATAGAGAATAACCCACTGCTAAAGCTAAGGCTTTTTGGGAATTCTCTCTCTGGACAAGCTTTCACCTGGTACACTACTCTGCCAGCAAATTCCATTCAGACATGGGAGCAAATGGAGAGCGTCTTCCATGACTACTATTACAGGATTCAGCCAGAAGTCACCATCAGTGACCTTGCAGCTCTCAAACAGAGTGAAGATGAACCTGCCCAAGACTTTATAAACAGGTTCAGGAAGCTCAAAATGAAGTGCCGAATCCCCATCGAAGAAAGACACTTCATTCAAATGGCTCAGGCTGCCCTCAAAATCTCTGAGGAAAAGATTTGATGGGATGCTGTTTGGAGATCTGGCAGAACTGGCAGATAAAGCGGCCAAGTACGAGGAATTGCTCAGAGAGGAACAGCAGAAGAGAAACTCTTCCAAAGGCACGTATTATAAATCCCCTTCTCCTCAATACATATGATTGAAGTGGAGTCAGAAGAAGATGCGGAGGAATCAGAGGAGAGAGAGGTTGCAGTTGCGGAAATGGCAAAATTAAAGCACCCCATCAGTTGTAAAACTCTTACAAAACCTCCAAGGGATCAGAAGCCGCCACCATTCACAGGAGGGTTTGTTCCAAATAAACCCATGCAGAACAAAGTGTATTCCTTCGATCTGACCAAAGTAGATGCCTTGTTCGATGAGATGTTGCTACAGAAAGCAATAGAGACACCTCACAGGATGCCCAAGCCAGAAGAACTCAAGGGCAGACAGTATTGCAGATGGCACAATTCTTGGAATCATTCTACCAATAGTTGTGTTGTTTTCAGAGATGTCATACAGGAAGGAATAACAGCAGGAAGGCTGAAGCTAGCAGAGAAAACCTCCATCTGTCACCACAGATCCTTTTCCCCAGCCACAAGTTAACATGGTCAACCTAAATTGGCCAGAACGGAAGAAGGACAGACCAGTCATGCAGGCTGGCTCCAGTGGAAGCAGAATAGTTTCAAAGGAGACTATGGAAAGACCAAAAGCAACCATTTCAGCTGGAATAGTGCTTTGCAGCAGGTGCAATTGTGAGGCTGAGTTGGAAGTAGTCCTGGAAAAACAGGAGCTGCCCATTCCAAGTGTTTTTGACCGGATCGGAACCACGCCCCATGATAGGACCAGACAGAGAAACTACCCTAGGCCTGTCCAATCCAACAGAAGAGTGACTAAGCAGCCCAAGAGGAAATATCAATAAAAGTGCCCGGAAGTAACAAACCTTTGGCGGCCATCATTGAAGGCAGGTGGTACTCTATCGGGAAGAATGGCAGACCAACAATGGAGCTGACAAGAACCCAAAGGAGGAGGGTTCAGAGACAGTACTGCACATTCCTCAATAACGAGAAAAACGCACAGGTGCTTCCAAATGCCAATTCTGCCAGAAAAAGGGAAAGAACCAGAAGTATTTCCCCAGACAGAACAAGCATCTCTCAACTACAGAAGTTGACAAAAGCAGAATCCTCAGAGAAACCTTCTGTCCATCCTGCCCCCGCCTCAGGAGGTCTACTTGAAACTCCCCAACTAGAGGAAAGAACCGATCCTGTTTCAGGAGAAGGACAAGAAGACTGGGTTGAGGAAGATGAAGAGGAGCAGCTGGATTATGAGCCATCCACAGATGACCAGAATACCTCCTCGGGACAGAAGAACTGGGAGAATGGACGGAGAAATATGATGGAGAACAGATGGATTATGACGGAGAATTGGATGCAGAAACTGAGGCCTTTGGTGCAGAACTGGAGGACTTGTTACGTGTTGACCTAGGCATCAATATGGTGTTCATTCTGCCAGAAAAGTTCTGGGCGGTAGAAGGACAGAAGAGCACTCTGGACGGAGACGTATTTTCCCAAGAAAGTTTTGAATGCAGGTTGGCAGAAACGGAAGAAATGCCAGAACAGCAAACAGGCAATCCCAGGATAGAAGGAGCAACCCACAAGCTGACAACAGGTCCCCTTTGCTTCTCCAAACCAACCAAAGAAATGGCAAACCACCTCAGACCCTGTTCATAACAGCAAACTTTGGGGGTGTTCCGATCCCCAAAACCATGGTAGATGGAGGTGCAGCCATCAACCTTCTGCCTCACAGAATGCTGAGCAAAATGGGCAGAACAGAGAAGGATCTAATCCCAACCCGCCTGACCGTCACCAACTTCGCAGGGGGCATCACCAAAACCCTTGGGATTCTGGATGTAGATGTCTTGGTAGGAAGCAAGAAGCTGAAGGTTGCATTCTTTGTGGTAGATACTACTTCCACCACTTACAATGCATTGCTTGGCAGAGATTGGATTCATCAGAGTCTGTGTGTTCCTTCCACTCTTCATCAACAGTTAGCTTTATGGAACGAAGATGGCTACATGGAGATAGTAGAGGCCGATCCACGGCCATTCCTACCTTCTGCCATGTGTTGTGAGGCAAGGTACTATCATGATGACCTTGGTCCTTTCACTTTCTTTGGAGTCAACCAGAACGGCCGCCCCCATGGTGTCACGGCCCAGAGACTCATTGAAGAAGGTCTAACCAATTCTTTGGAGGATTGGAACAGACCTTTTGTCCTAAATTTCCAAAGCACTGATGTTTAGTCCCAATCAACAAGAAAAGGATCGAGCTGCAACAATCCGGTCCATTACAAAAAGATTGTTGATATACTGGGAGGAAAGAAGGTTGTTTGCACAGAATCCAGCCATCAATATGGCAGAATTCACTCATGAAAGTACGGAAAGCCAGGAGGAAGAAGAACTACAGGAGGAAGTGCTAGATTTCGCACCAGCCGCATTGGATGACTCTCTGCCAGAAGTAGAAGATCCTTTGCAGGAAATAAATTTGGGAACAGAGGAGGATCCAAGGCCAACCTTCATCAGCGCACTATTGAAAGAACCACTTAAGAATGAACTCGTTGCACTTCTACAAGAGTTCAAAGACTGTTTTGCTTGGCATTATCACGAGATGCCAGGATTAGACAGGGAATTGGTAGAACACAAGCTACCAATCAAAGAGGGATACCTTCCAGTCAAACAGGCCAGAAGAAGAATGTCCATGGACACAGAACTGAAAGTCAAAGAAGAAATAGAAAGGCTGCTCAAAGCAGGATTCATCAGGCCTGCCATCTATGCTGATTGGCTAGCTAACATTGTACCAGTTCTAAAAAGGAAAACTGGGGCAGTCAGAATCTGCGTGGATTACAGAAACCTGAATGAAGCCTCTCCCAAGGATGAATACCCTATGCCAATGGCAGACATGCTAGTAGATGGAGCTGCCCACAACCAGATGCTATCTTTTATGGATGGCAACGCAGGTTACAATCAGATCATGATGGCAGAAGAAGACATCCACAAGACAGCCTTCATGTGTCCAGGGCATATAGGTGCTTTTGAATATACTGTAATGCCTTTTGGCTTGAGAAATGCAGGGGCTACCTATCAAAGGGCAATGAATTCTGTTTTCCACGATATGATAGGACATTCCTTGGAAGTGTATATTGATGATGTTGTGATCAAATCACCAGAGGAGGGAAACCACATGACAAATCTAAGAAGAGCATTCCTCAGAATGAGGCAACATAAACTGAAAATGAACCCAAAGAAGTGCGTTTTTGGAGTTCAAGCGGGAAATTTCCTAGGATTTTGGTCCACCAAAGAGGCATAGAGATCGACAAGAACAAAACAAAATCCATCATAGAAGCTTTACCGCCTAGGAACAAGAAAGAATTGCAAAGTCTCTTAGGAAAAATTAATTTTTAAGGAGATTTATATCCAATTCTGCAGGAAAGATCCAGCCTTTCTCTTCTCTGTTAAGGTTGAAACAGGAACAAACCTTTAAGTGGGAAGAACAACACCAGCAAGCTTTTGAGGAAATCAAGCATTACCTCTCAAATCCACCAGTTCTGTCCCCGCCAAAGAGAGGCAGGCCACTCAAGCTCTATATATCCGCATCAGAAGTATCCATTGGAAGTTTATTGGTTCAGGATAACAAGGAAGGAAAGGAACAGGCGGTTTACTACCTAAGCAGAACTCTGACAGAAGTGGAAAGAAAATATTCTGCAATTGAAAGACTTTGCCTAGCCTTGTACTTCACTGCTGTAAAGCTCAGACATATATGCTACCATACACCATCTATATCATTGCCAAAACAGATCTGATCAAATACATGCTAACAAGACCAATGCTAAGAGGCAGAATTGGAAAATGGACCTTGGCCTTGACAGAATTTGCCTTCAGATATGTTCCTCAGAAAGCCGTCAAAGGACAAGCTGTGGCAGACTTCCTAGCAGATCATCCCGGAGAGGAGATTGAAAATATGGACTCTTTAGACATAGCAAATGCAGATCTATTAACCAGAGCTCACACCTGCCTCAACAATCCTATCTACTCAGTTCATCTTACACCTTGGAAGTTATACTTTGATGGTCAAAAACTGATATAACTTCCGGGGCAGGAATTGTTTTGGAAGAGCCACTTGGAATCAGACACTGCTACTCTTTCCAATTAGATTTCCAATGCACCAACAATAGGGCAGAATATGAAGCCTTAATCATTGGCTTGGAAATATGGTAGAATTAGGAATCCAGTCTGTGGAAATCCTGGGAGACTCCATGCTGGTTCTAAAACAAATTGCTGGGGAATACAAGTGCCTAAGCCCTTCTCTGGCTGTCTACTTGGTGGCAGCTAGGAATCTTCTGACAGAATTCAGAGAGGCCACTTGGGAACATATCCCAAGAGAAGAGAATTTTGCAGCCAATGAATTGGCCCAGGTGGCAACAGGCATACAAATACCCGAAGATTGTGTACAAAGAATCATCAAGATAGGAAAGAAAAGCCTACCATCGGTTCTGGCCAGGGGGATGGAGATAGATGTCAACTCTGCCACAATCACTGAAGATGATTGGAGGAATCCTATCATGACCTATCTGCGATATCCAACTTTGCCCTCTGAGAAGAAAGTCAGAATCATGGCTTTAAACTACCTTATGTGGAATGAAGATTTGGTCCGAAAAAGTAAGGATGAGGTGCTTTTAAGGTGCCTCGGGAAGAAAGAATACATGAAAGTTATGGGGGAAACCCATGAAGGAATCTGTGGAGCACATCAAGGTGGAAGAAAAATGTGCTGGTTAATTAGGAGATATGGCTACTTCTGGCCAACCATGATGAAAGATTGCATTAACTATTCCAAGGGGTGCGAATCTTGTCAAAGACACGGCCCAGTCCAGCAGGCTCCATCAGTTCCCATGAATCCAGTGGTAAAACCATGGCCCTTTAGAGGATGGGCAATGGATCTCATTGGCAAGATCTATCCAGCCAGCAGCCAGCAGCACTGCTTTATCATTGTTGCCACAGACTACTTCACCAAGTGGGTGGAGGCCAAGGCTGTTAAATCCACTACATCTCAAGAGATCATCATTTTCATAGAAGAACAGATTATCCAAAGATTTGGCATCCCAGAATCAATCACAACTGATAGAGGGTCATCTTTCATATCTAGAGAAATGCTGGACATGGCAGAGGCATTCAAATTCAGACTGCTCCAATCCACTCCTTATTATGCCCAAGCCAATGGACAGGCGGAATCAAGCAACAAAGTAATCATCAACATTATCAGGAAAATGCTTGAAAAGAATCCAAAACAATGGCATGAGAAGCTGTCAGAAACTCTGTGGGCATATAGAACTTCAAAGAGAGAAGCGACTGGCATGACTCCCTACGCGTTAACCTACGGTCATGATGCAATTCTGCCTATGGAGATAGCTGTTCAGTCCCTCAGAATTGCTCACCAACATGACTTAGTAGGAGAAGACTACTCCCAGGCCATGCTGCTGGAACTGGAAGGATTGGATGCAGCCAGAATTGACACTCTCAACAAACTCCTGGCAGGAAAACAGGCTGTATCAAGGGCCTACAACAAAGAGTCAGGAACAAGAGTTTTGAAGAAGGGGAGATAGTCTGGAAAGCAGTTCTGCCCCTTGGAAACACATGTGGCTGGTTATGGAAAATGGTCACCTACATGGGAAGGTCCTTTCATAATCAGCCAGATCCTTGGAATGGGGGCATATAGGTTGCAGGATAGGGATGGAGAAGTTCATACGGCCCCGATCAATGGCAAATGGTTAAAAAAGTTTTATCCAACCATGTGGGATTCACAGGCTGTACAAACAGACCCGGGATAGACACAGGATTTAACTAAAAATCTTTTGAAAGTTACCCTTGTTTTTTTACTTAAGTCTATCCCTTTGTTGTATTCCTACTTCTGTTTTCCATTCGATCCATCATAGAAATATAAAATGAACTTTATTTAAAAAATAAATAAACCATGGGGCCTTCCCCACGGCAAGCTGTTCAGAAAAAGCAAAATAACGAAATCAAAATCCTAGTTTTCTAAGAGTCTCCTGCAGGTTAGTCTTCTTGGTAGAAAGTTCCTTTTGGAGCAGCACACCCTGATGAATTGAAGCTTCTGCAATCTCCAGGGCTGGCCTAGAAGCTGCAACCATGTTCTGCACAAGGAAAGGGCCTTGGTCTTAGAGCTCAATCCAGCCCCGAGCCTGTGCTGCACTTCCCGACGCTCTGCCAGCTGTTTTTGAAGTTCTGCAATCTCTGTTTTTCCAATTTATCCCCAGCAGCTTTGGCTTCTTTATACCCCACAACCATCTGGTCCAGTTCTGCCTTCTGCTTTGCAAAATCAGCCAAGTTGGCTTCATGAGTGGCCTTGCAGAACTCAGAGGTTTTGAAGGTAGGCTTCAGGTCTTCATAACGGTCGTGAAGGTTAAGCACATCCCTTGCCAAGCCAAGACTCATCTCAAGTATGGGTCTTGGGGCCATGTTCTGTCTATGCAGCAGATCCAGATCCTTCATCAGCTGATCAAAGGCCTCTCTGTCCTCATCCCGCTCCAATTCAGCAGACTGCCAGATCTTCAGTCTCTCCATTGCTTCTTCCACTGCCCTGGACTTTTCTTACCAACAGGAGTCTGAGCTTTTCCAACCTATCCAGCAGCTTCTGGCCCATCTTCGGGGCCTGGGCATCTAGGCCTCCCCGTCTCCAAATGTGTTCTCACTCAGTTCTCCTGCCCTCTCCCCGTCGCAGCTCCGCGCTCACGCAGCGACAGCAGCGCGCTGGGCCGATCGCCTCCCCTCTCTACTCTGCCACTCGCCTCTTCCTCGGTGTCATCTCGCCTTGAGCCCTGCAAGAGAATGATGGCAAGCTGCAGAAGGAAGCATGAGGTCAAGAACAGTGCAGATAAACAAGAAGAAAGAGATAGAACCGTGCAAAAAACCACTCAACTCGCAACAATCGAAGGCACTGAAGGGGGTCTGGAACTCAACCGCCAAAGTCCCCAGCAGGTCTTTGTTGCTTCCCCCTGTAAAGATTCGAGGTCAGAAGAGACCAAGGGACGAAACTAAATTGAAAACGACCGAAATAAGAAGACTCAAACACAAACCCATAACGACAGCAGCCACTCCCTTCTCGCCGGGGCAGGCCGGAGGAAGTGGCCACTAGTGTGTGCCATTTCCGATAACCGATTGTTCCAACTTGGTCTCAGTGCTGGCGTCAGTGGAATGTTCTGCTCTCTGGATCATCACAAAGGGCCACCTCTGAGTTGGTCCACCCTTGTCCCCTATCTCTCCTGCTGCTTCCGCGAGCCAAGCAATGGCGCTCCGCTATCTAACCTCAGCAGGAATTTCCCCTTCCCTTTTTTCCCCTTCCCCCCCCTCCTCCCTATCTCAGCCGCATTCGAACAATAATTCTAATCAATTTCCTCATCATGACAACAAATGCTCCCATCTCATCACATACATTACTCCCCCCTCCACCACCTCCATCCTCCTTCTCCACTTCCCTTTTTCCTTTCCTTTTTTTTTCCCTTTCTCCTCCTCGCCTGCCTCCCAGCCTTCTAGCTCCCCTTTCCTTGCTCCCAGCTTCGAAAGCCTCTCTCTCATCATCCGTGCCGAGGTGGTGGTAGGAAACTGCCCCAGTTCCCCCCGGTCCACGTATTCTTCTACAATCTTCTTTTCTAAGTCTTTTTGACTTAGTCGAGGAGGAAGGGAGATGCCAACTGCAACACGAGAATAAGTCTTAAAGATTAAGACAGAACGGAATATTGATGAAACTCAAAAAGGGGAGAAATCATCAAAGGAATACCTGGAGCCACAGACTGGGCAGTCTCTTTTCTTTTCCCCTTCTACAGGAGAAGTCCTCACATGTTCTGTTATGCCTGATCCTTCTTCTCTTCGGTCTTCTTCCTCCTCTCTCCATCCCCGGAGGGCAACCTCCAATCCCCATCGGCCATACAGAATTGACTATGCGATGAAGACAAAGTCAAGGTCAATCCAGTAGAGAGTAGCCAAGACTGGGACAAACACACAACTTAACAAACAAACACCTCTCCGCTTTGGGCTGGTTGGCTGCCTATATTCTTTGTCAGAGAGGGATCTGAGTACAGATAGAAAGGATTAGCATCATCACTAAAAACAAGAATAGGCAACAACAGACAGATAGAGAGATTACCTTCTATAATTTGCATGTTGATGTCTTTGATGGTCTGCACCATGAATCTGTGAGTCCTCGCGTCTGAATGGACATTCCAAGTGTCCCAGCCCTTAAAAAGGACCTGAAGTGCGGTGCTGAAAGCAGTCAGATCACGGAATCTGGCTTTCCACCAGGCATCAAACTCCACAGAACTGCAGAGTTCAATTCCCATGAAGATAAAGGGCATTCGCACTATTGTGATCTTGTTCACCGCACACCTGGCATCTTATTGACCTCCAATCATCACGTCCCTCCAAGAAGACCCCCGATTGCAGCTTCTGTATGACTTGAGGGGTATGAGCTGAGGACAGCCAAGCTGCCTTGCACAGAAGTTGGGATGGTAGACTTCCGCCCCCAAATGATAATTTGGAGGCTTTCCTCCTCCATGAGTAGATCCCTAGGTAAGGTCACACTCATAACTTCTTCCTGAAATCAGTTCTGGCGGATTCTTCTTCTGGCTCTTTCTCAAACAGACATGTCCCATGCTGAAACCAAGGATAGGTCCTCCTAATCACCATCTGCCACTGCGCTGCAGACTTTGTACAATGCCTGAACATCATCAGGTATTCACAATTGATCGCTTGGGAACTTTGCCGACACACAAGGTTGAGCCAGAACCTGATCCTCAGGCAGAACTATATCTGGAAACCTTAGCTCAGAAAAATAGACCTGCAGCCAGACCTAATCATCCAGAAGGCACCAGGAGCAGATAGATTTAGCGGGTACTCCAAGTGGCGGTATGCAGGTTCTTGAATAGATGGGCCAGAACTGTTGCCCGAGCCCAACTCAGTATGATTATGCAGAGCTTCTGCCAATGTCTGTACTCAAGCAGAACTGCAGAAGAGCGATTGGGCAGAACAAACCTGTTCAGCACATACATGAGAACAACATTGCTGCTGATCTTTGTCCTTCTCACACTAAATTTTCTGAGATATTGGAAAGGAGCAATTCTGGTTGATCAGGCTGGGGAACAGTGAATGGCTTGGCTACTTCTGCTGGTCCCTTCTTCCTGTGATAGTCACCACAGCATCAACAGGTCTCCCATGATGCCTAAAGCCAAAAATCTGAGCCATATCCAGCAGAGTGGAGCCATGGGGCCTATACGAAAATCGAAGGTGTTACTGGCAGAATTCCAGAAACACAGAGCAGCAGCAGACAGTTCTCATCCCTGTTGATAGATTGCTTGGATAGGAGAATGGCGTCATAAATTCCAGCCCGCTTCCAGTGAGCCCCAAATCGAGGAAGAAGTCCTGTCAAAGCCAATCAGCCCACTTGACTGGACTGTTTCTCACTTCACTGGATGGGAACGAACGACTCAAATTCTTGCTGACCCAGAATGAGAAGCCAGGCAGAAGAGCTCTCGAAACATAGAGGGGCCTCAGCATCCTTCTTCATCACTCCGCCATCTCAGGAGGAACGGGGCCACCATGAGGCCCCAGCACCAAGGTGTTTTTCAACAAGTGGGGACCTTTTCGGTTATGTTTTTCTGGGCAAAAGATGGAGGCTTGCTCCTAACCTCTATCGCATGCTTCCTTCCAGCCCCCAGTAAAAGATAGTCTGGAGAACTGGAACAGGGAAGATGAGACGGTATTTCGGGGAAGACATCGCTATGGAAGTTATTTTTTTTTCTAAAAGTTTCACAGGAGTGCATGCGGATCAGCAAAAGGAAGTTCTTCGAAAACACGAAGGGAATCAAGTTTGAAAAGTACTTAGGTTTTCATGTGCAACAGGAACTGTTTTCGAAAGAAAACTTTTAAAGAAGCCAGAACACTGGGAAAGAATGAAGCGACGTGGAGAAGAACAAAGCGTCAATCTGTGTGACTAAGTTAATAATTTTTTTTTTTTTTTTTTTTTTTTTTTTTTTTTTTTTTTTTTTTTTTTTTTTTTTTTTTTTTTTTTTTTTTTTTTTTTTTTTTTTTTTTTTTTTTTTTTTTTTTTTTTTTTTTTTTTTTTTTTTTTTTTTTTTTTTTTTTTTTTTTTTTTTTTTTTTTTTTTTTTTTTTTTTTTTTTTTTTTTTTTTTTTTTTTTTTTTTTTTTTTTTTTTTTTTTTTTTTTTTTTTTTTTTTTTTTTTTTTTTTTTTTTTTTTTTTTTTTTTTTTTTTTTTTTTTTTTTTTTTTTTTTTTTTTTTTTTTTTTTTTTTTTTTTTTTTTTTTTTTTTTTTTTTTTTTTTTTTTTTTTTTTTTTTTTTTTTTTTTTTTTTTTTTTTTTTTTTTTTTTTTTTTTTTTCTGTACCCATTCTATTATGCCAACTGTAATTTCTTTGTAAAAACCAGCACTGCTTTCGTAATTATATACTAGGTATTGCCCCATGTTGTATAGTTGACTTGTCCTTATTAGGTTTACTTGGACTTTCCTATTTACAATTACAAAATAAGAGATTTACATTAACACCTTGAGGTTTTTGATCTTTTTACAAAATTCCCCTGAGGTTTCAAAAATTACATGAACTTTCTCTGAGGTTTCAGATTATTTTCACAAAACCTCTTTTCTTATTTGTCCAAAAATTGATGATTTCGTTAAAAAAAAATTTATGCCAATGAAAAAATTAACCTCAATGAATGCATATGCAATCAATCTCAAAAACTAACTTTGTCATTTGAAAAAAAAAAATTTATATATAAAATCATCAATATTTAGATGAAAAATCGACGAAAAGGGGTTTATGTGGTTTTCTTGTCTCATATGGTACGTGAGAGCGATGTTCAACCCTCCTTTGCCACCTCATATCTCTCAACATCTTCTCGTCCTGTCTCGTATTTTCTGTTTGTCTTTAAGAAACTTTGGGTTAAAAGAATTAAAACATATTTAATTTAAATTTATTAAATGAAACGAAGAAAAGGACAAGGAGAACCAGAAAACAAAACTACCCGAAGGCAGGCTTGGCCTCATGGTGAAAGTTTAACTAAGACAATAGTTATGACACATAACAAATCTCTGTTACAGAAATCCCAATCTAAACGCAGGAGCCTCATCCCACCAACCAAACCAAGAAACAGCCCTGCCATGATTAGCCAAGGCCCTCATTATAGTCTCACAAAAGATACGAGAAAAACGAAAATGCATCAGCGAAAGACGGAATAAACAGACATTTCTTGTTGCAACAACATAGACAGTTGAAATTGGAGCCTCCTGTAAAGAGATCTTGAGCAGGTGCAAATCTCTTTCTCATCTCTATAAATCAAGGAGCAAGAGGCAGCCTTGAGAGACGTACACTTAGAATATTTCTTAGAAAATTGTATGTTTCTGACCATGACTAAATCGAATTCGTCATCAGTTGGCAGACGCCTTCCTCTGATTTCCATAGTACTTCTACTTGGGCAGCTGGTGGTGGCTAGCTTGGCAACAAAACAACACACAGGTATGCATATACAATTGGCACCTCTGTCAATCTAACTACCAATTTAACGAAAGCCAATGCACAGCAAATAACAACATTTTTGTGTGTGTGTTTTTATAAGATAAGGACCAAACTGTTACATGCAACAAACCACGCATTTAAAATATTATTTCCTTTTTCAATGTAGGTTCTCCAATTGGTGTATGTAATGGAATGCTTGGCGATGACCTACCACCCCAAGCAGAAGTTGTTGCTCTCTACAAGACAAATAACATCCCAAGAATGCGACTTTATGATCCAAACCCAGCCGCTCTAGAAGCCCTTCGAGGCTCCAATATCAAGCTCTTGCTAGGGGTACCAAATGAAAACCTTCAATACATTGCCTCAAGCCAAGCCAGCGCAAATGCATGGGTCCAGAACAATGTGAGAAACTATGCCAATGTGAAATTCAAGTACATTGCCGTAGGAAATGAAGTCAAGCCTTCAGACTCCTTTGCACAGTTTCTCGTCCCAGCCATGCGAAAAATTCAAAAGGCAATTTCTCTTGCTGGTCTTGCAAAGAAAATTAAAGTTTCGACAGCCATCGACACCGGAGTACTTGGAGAGACCTTTCCTCCTTCGATAGGCTCATTCAAGTCTGAGTATGACGCACTTTTGCATCCCATCATCCGCTTCCTAGTGAACCACAAATCGCCATTGCTTGTTAACTTGTACCCTTATTTTGCTTACAGTGGCAACACTCAAGACATTCGTCTTGATTATGCTCTTTTCACAGCTCCATCAGTTGTGGTACAAGATGGGAACTTTGGTTATCGTAATCTTTTCGATGCCATGTTGGATGGTGTTTATGCTGCTCTTGAGAAGGCTGGTGGAGGGTCTTTGAAAGTTGTTATATCAGAGACTGGTTGGCCATCAGCTGCTGGAACAGCCACAACAATTGATAATGCAAGGACTTATATATCAAATTTGATTCAACATGTGAAGGAAGGGACTCCAAGGAGGCCAGGAAGGCCCATAGAAACTTACATCTTTGCCATGTTTGATGAGAATAGAAAGACCCCAGAGCTTGAGAAACATTGGGGGCTCTTCTCCCCAACAAAACAGCCTAAATACCAAATCAGTTTCAATTGATTAGCTAAAGGTAAGTTTATTGTGACAATAAAAGGGATGTTGTGGTTGCCAATAAAAGATTGCCAAGTTACCTGTAACCCCACACACTACCCCCCGCCGCCCAAATTTTTAATTTTTAATTTGGTCACAAGCACCCTTGTACCCAAAAAAAAGCTCATATAGAGCAAATAGTCTTAATAAGAGATTGTGCGAATTATAATTGTATGTCTTCTTTGGTAGTTTGACGCATTACAATTTACAGTTGTCATTGTATCTTTGGGTTTAGTTGCTACTTGCATATGCAAATTCATTTTTAATTACTTCAATAGAAACGAACTAGCTCTTAATTTAGTTGTATTTTTTGTTGGCGTAACTTGTGGACCATTGACATTTTTTCCTTATGCACCAAGGATTCCTATTATAATTATATTTGATTTACTTTAATTCATGATTTCCTACTGTAAATAGAAATAGGAATTTATTATTTACTTTCCCATTCAGGTTTTCGTTGTATTATAAATATGACCTCCTACAAGGAGAAGAATACAGTGAAAATTCCCACAAACAAATATTCTCTTATAGTTCTCATATTTTACCATGGTATCAGAGCGGCGATCTTGGAATTGCTTACTCTAGTTTCCAACCCCGACTTAGGCTCAGATCCTGATCCAGATTCCTACTAAACTTGTATCCTATGCATCTTCCGCTGCACAAAATACGCCTTCCCAACTAGTGATCCCAACACATGGACGAGATTGCGCATACTGTGGTGATCTGAGACACCTTCATGAGACTTTTTTGAAATTGCCTGACTACCCTGACTGGTGGGCCACTCTCAAAGATCGAACAAAACTCGATACGACCCGTAATGATACTGGTTATGGATTCCATGCTTCGAATAAGAGTGATTCCACGAGCTGGATAATTGATTCCGGTGCAACTGATCATATGACCTTTGATCCTGATGATTTTTTGAATACTACCCAGCCTCGACGAACTTGTATTGCTAACGCCAATGGAGTTACTTATCATGTGACAGGGGTTGGCACTATTGCACTCTCATTCTCTCTCTCACTGTCTAGTACTTTACTTGTTCCGTCTTTATCCAATAAATTGTTGTCAGTTAGTCAGCTTACCCGAGTTTTTGTTTGCTTCAGGATATTTACACTAAAGAGATTCTTGGTCGTGGTACTAAGAGAGGAGGGCTATATTATGTAGATTACTTCAATCCCAGCATGGCTAATAGTGTGATGCATCCCTTTGATAGCAAACAAAAGAAAATCTGGTTGTGGCACTATTTATTGGGACATCCGTCTTTTAGTTATATGAAACATCTTATACCAGATTTATTCTCAAGTTTCAAGGACTCCGACTTCACATGTGATACTTGTATTTTGGCCAAGAGTCACCGTGTGCCTTATTCATTGAGTACGAAAAAGTGTACTACTCCGTTTACGTTAATTTACTCTGATGTTTAGGGACCTTCACCTATCACTACTTCTTCTGGTGT